TTCAATTATTTATTTTCTTGCAGTATGTGTGAGTTATTGGAGTTGGATATTATTACTGCCACTCTACTTTTGCACAATCGAAGGGACTGTAGTTGTTTCCGTTGTTTGTTGTATTACTGGTTCAATCTCCGTCAGATTAAAATAAGATTTTTATCAGATTTTAATAAAAATTGATAAAATGTATAATTGAAAAGTCGCGGGTCCTATGAAATGTATGGTTAAAATTAATTATTAACTTTGATTAGAAAACGATCAAATACAATTAAAAAACAATTGGAATAATTGGAAAAAAAATACAAGATTTAAATTGCAGTACAAACTTAAAAATGAAAAAAAAAAAAAAAGAATAATAATAAGCGAATCGAGGTAAAATTCCAAACCAGATTACATAACATATAGAGAAGCATTTGTTTAATTAAAATATTCATCAATAAATATATAGTAAAAAAAACTGGACGAAATGCAAGAATTTAGAGAGAGGTGAATATCGGTGATTTTAGCAGCAACTCTTTGAATAAGTGTAAAAACCACCATGAGAACATCAGAAAAAGCAGTGGTAAATTTTGAAGAGAGAAAAGTAACATTTTGTTTCTTGTTAAGAAAAAGAAAAATGATAGTTGGGATGATAAATGGTAAAATTAATTATATATAGAGAGAGTAATAGCTATGATACATTTATGGGATCCGTAAATATATGTGATAATTTTTATGCCATTTATGTGATTTTTTAGAGATGTTTATATTTTCAAAATTTATTAGTTTCTTGTGTTTGCATATGAAAAATTCTAATTTAAAAAATTTCTTAATTATAATTTTCTTTTTTTTCAATCAATCAATTAACCTTACATAATTTGGAGTCATCATTAAAATGGGCCTTAGGCTACGCAAATAGTAGTCATTTTGTTCTTGGTGTACCATGGTGGATGATTCATTGAATTATCATTTTGTCTTCCTACAGTTCAATTATTTGCTTAAATGATTCATTTTGATTTTAAACGTCCTTTAATGCTTTTCAATTCAATTGGCACATGAGCATGGGCGGATATGGGAGGAGGTTGCATTGGGCTCGGCCCATATCCTATTTAGCTTTGTAACTTTTTTATTAAATAAGTTATATTTGGCCCAAATTTAAATTTTGCCCACTATCCACTTCTTCTAATATTTGTCAACTTCAAGCTTAATTTCTTAAATGGACCAAATTTTAAAATTACCCCACTTCCAAATCTCTTGCTCAAAATAATAAAACTTCTTTCAAAATTTAATATGGTAGGTGAAAGACAATGAACAACCTTATTTTTGCTGCAATAGTCCAAAGAAATAAAACTCAAATGAGAGGATATAATTGTATTAATTGATGTTTT